GTGTTCATGGAGAATATTCAGACGGGAGTCTGGCCATGTTTCACTCCCATTATTTGCATGTACATGTATATCCTGCCATGTAACGGTCTAAGCACGTTTGTGTCCAAAATACGACATCATGCTGGAGCCAGTATGTGTCGATTGTACTGTATGTAGGAGGAAAATGAGTTACTTTGTATTTGTGCGACAATTTTTACTCAATTTCCAAAAAGAAAATAAAAATGAACCATCGTAGCCACATTGTAGCCCACTTAACGAAGGAAAAATAGAAGGAATAATTCGTGTAATAGTGAATTTTGGTACCTATGGTTGTAGGTAAAGGTACTAAAAGAACTAATGAATCGGGGTGGCTACAACAGTATCTGGATAATAAACTAATTAGACTGTTTTGATCCAAATAATTTAAAACATCCAAAGATTTCATGGAAAAGGGTAACATACTTATCTTCAAAACAACGTTTTTTAATCCAAAATTATAAAAAGCTTGCTACCAATTTACGCATTTCAAATTTGTGGTCAGTGGCGTACTTCTGTATGGTCAAGGGGGGTTTATTTTTTTTTAATGGCAACCACTATAATCCGTTTCAGATGTCCGTGCAGTAAAGGAATGCGCCTGCGGCTATTTTCCAGTAGCGCACCATTTCGACACACTTTAGGGTTGCAGCTAGGATCTAATACGTTTCTATTAATATGATATCTATATACATTTTAATGTTTAATGATTATACATGGTAATTACACTTGGTTTAATTGCATATATTTTTGGAATGCATTCTTAATAATTTGTACTTAATGTGCATGAGCAATTTGTTTTACCCATTTGCACGCCCATGAACATTTTAAACGTGTAAATAAAACCATTATAAGCTCATTAACTATTGTCTAGGCGATCCTTTCAAACCCTTATTGCTATGGAGCGTACTTTTCCTATTCGTCCGCTTTTAAATACTGGGTTTCAAAAGGAAATTGCGTTGCGGCTCTTTAAAATTTTTCGCTATATGCACATTCCTTTACTGCACGGACATCTGAAACGGACTTTAGTTTTCATTACATATTCTTGAAAAGTAGCTACACTTTTTTGGATATAGCAGCATAATACATTGATTATATTACATAATCAAATGGAAGAGAAAAATCCCAATTAAAGAAAATTATTGTGTTGAAATTAATTTCATAATTTCACTAGTTTGCGTTGAAAAAAACGTTATTCTTTTGTTAGTAATGTGAAAGCAATTTATCGTATCAAAAATCATTAAATAACTTAAGTAAATCTACATTTTACATGCTGAAAAATTATTTTTCTACTCCTATTTAATTGATATATTAAACAATTGCTACCTGTACTTAAATTTTCCTTAAGATACGAGTTTACGACCAATAGAAATGCAGCATCACGGGAACACGACGCCTAATTTATGAAAATCAAAGTGGCCATAACAATGATTGATCTAAAACGTATTAGTTTATTTTTTAAGCATATGGTAAAATTACATTGGTTAGAAAGGGTAGGCTAAGCCGTTCTTTAACCGTAAGGATAGATAAAGTGATCACTTTAACCGTAAGGGTAGATAAAGTGAAACAGATGATTGTGCATTCTAATGACATCCCTTCATCGTCGTGTAAAATACAAAAGTTTATTTTATAGCGGAAGCCAGATAAATCATTGTATGAGTTTTTGACAATTCTGAATTTAATTTAGAGATATCAAAAATAGCTTAGGCTCTGCCCTCGCGATCGTTTCCGTAGAAAAAAATTGTCATATATTCTGAACGTCATTTTATATCGTGCATTTGAAATAAGAATGACAGATGTCATTAGAGTGCATAGTTATTTGTTTTACTTTATCGACCCTTGCGGTTAAAGTGATCACTTTATCTATCCTTACGGTTAAAGAACGGCTTAGCCTACTCATAGAAACCTATTAAAATGTCAATTTAACAATAAATAACTATTTGACAACTGCTGGGCATAGCGAATATGATTCGTTTTCTTATGAATTAATCATAATATTCCAATCGGCGGTCATCTTGAATAAGTTTGATAGTGGTATTCCGCGGGAACGCGTTACCATGACTGCGCAGTGCGCATGCTTTGTGGTCGGTAACTACGCTACCTGCATACAATAAAAATTTTGAACCGCTTTTGAAGCCATCGTAGCTTCACTTCATTATAGGTCATCATAGTCGTAGAAAAAGTAGTGTGTATAAAATTCGCATTTAATGGCTATTAAGACACTCGTATTTATTCTCATACTCGTGTCTTAATAGCCTTCATTAAATGCTCATTGATAATAATATACTATTATAGTGGCATGCATCTCCCGAAGCGTCTACAGAACTAAGAGAGTCACTTTTTTTTAATGGGCAGCACTATTTTCTGGCGAGGTATTATTAAAGAATGAATTTTTTAAAATTGTAACAAAAAAAACAAGATCAAGCTAGTAACATTACGAAATTAATTAACTATTTTCCTTAATTTGAGATTATTTGATTATGTAGTAGGTACAATAAGTTTTTAGCGCATTTCCACAAAAATAAAAAAGTGGGTTATTGTGGCCACTGTCCGTCCGTCCGTCCGTTCGTCCGCTCCTTCGTTGAGACGCTACTAGTTCTTTATCTTAAGAGCTATTGTTCTACTTTTTCCGCTGTTTGGTTTGTTATGGTGTCGAGGCTTGCACCAAGGAAGGAATTTTTTCTGCGTTTGTTTCTAAAAAAGTTATTGTAAAAAAAACAAAAAACTGTTTTTCACATGTTCCATAATTTTACACTTTTGCCGTTTATTAACGATCCTAGAGATCGTTTATAATTTTGTATTGGTGTCTGTCGTCTGTCTGTTGGCCTGTCCGTCTGTTCATTTGTCTGTCTATCGCTCTATCTGTCCGTGTGAACGATAACTTTGTTTAGAAATGTTCGATCGCTTTGACATCTCCGTTAGTTATGAACTGAATTGCATGAAATTCAATATGGGCATAGCTTTAGGCATATAATACGCAATGCCAAAAGTTGAGTCGAATCGATTCAAAATTCACAATGCCCTTTTCACATCTCCACCATTTATAAACCAAATTGCAAACTTTTTTATTTAGTAAGTATTTAAACGAAATTTGATGCATAGGCACTTGGAATAAAGGAAAATCAAACGCCAGTTCCAAATTTGGTTTTGTGCATGTGCCGTGCCATTTTTTTTAATTTATGGAAGCTTTTAAATAAAATTTGATACATAGGCGCTTGGAACAAAGGAAAGTCTAGTTTCAAAATTTAGATTTGCGCATGCGCAGTTCCAACTTTCTTATTTAGAAAAGCATTGAAATGAAATTCTTCTTATGAACAGAAATTAAAGTAGCAATTGTGGAACATGTAAATAACGGTTTTTTGGTTTTTTTACAATAACTTTTATAGCAATAAACGTAGAAAAAATTCCTTCCTTGGTGCAAGCCTCGACACCATAACCAACCAAATAGCGACTCTTAAGAAAAGAACTAGTAGCGTCTCAACGAACGAGCGGACGGACGGACGGACGGACAAAGTGGCCACTGGCCAGAAAGCGCATTTTTTGTGGAAATGCGCTAAAAAGTATACTCTTTAAGAATATGTAATGAAAACTTACTATTCAAAAAAATATCCCCTTTTGACCATGCCACTGACCACAAATTTAAAGGACGTAGATTGGTAGCAAAATTTTTGTAATTTTAGATATCATATAGAAAGCTGCTTTAAAAAAATGTTTTGAAGATATATTCAGTGTTTTAGACAAAATGTTCACCCTGTATAATGTAAATTCTTTTTGAAAATCACTTGCATTCATCCCTGCCTCATTTTGAGTCCAAAGTCTTACTCGAGATTACCGTAACAGCTTTTTAGCGTTTTGCTATCTATATCATTGATTTTAAAGAACCCATATAAGCACTAGAAATTTTCATGGTTACTCTTTGCTATGGGTTTTCAGAAGTGTCAATCGTTTATTCAGTGAATTAATGAGGCGCTTTCTTTCGACGATCCAAACGCGTTTGGATTGTTAAATCACCTTCTCTCGAAGTGTGATCTTATGATCATAATTGCTAAAATCGTGAACAAATCTGACGTCTTCTAGCCCTACAATGGAAAGAATCCGGTGCTTGACCTTGCCCTCCGCTTTTTTGGCACTCTCTTGGATGATTCATCTTCTAGAATTTAGATGTGCCTCCGTTTGGGTCTACCTGCCTGTGTTCCCAATCTTTGCTCCAGTGGTGAACCTATGGATAATTTGGGTCATCGTGACCTCTTTTGCCGAAGGAGTGCTGGGCGAAGATCACGATATGAATACGATTAATGATATTATCAAACGCGCTCTGACTTTAGCAGAAATTTCCGCACTACGTGAACCCAATGGTTGTTATCGAGAAAACAAGAAAAGATCATATGGAATCACTTTGAATCCATGGAAGTTGGGACGGCCTTTGGTATGGAATGTGACGTGTTCTCAAACCTTTACTAAATCCTACATAGATTTAACATCACAAAGTGCACCGTGTCTACTCTACGATGACTCTACGTCTACCTATACAGGGGAAAGAAAATCGAAAAATACCGGTTCCTTGGTACTAATAATTACGCTACCGGTTTCGGTGGCCGTTATCATAACTTGTTGAATAACGGTTCCGGTTTCAAGTGAGGGGTTTTTAAATGCAATCGGTTCCGGTTGTTTTCGGTTCCGATTCCAACCACTGATTTAATTATAGCTGGCCGAGGGGGGTTAATTTTCTTATTTTTAATGTACGCACGAGGCGCCCTCTTCGCTATTTGATTCGTCAATGTTTAAAACGTCACCAGTTTTCTATTCACCCATCTGAATTGTAAGGCGTACAGTCGGTTCAATTATTTGTCCACTTCCCTAATTATCTATGTTACACACGCCGACTTTAGATTCTCATTCACATTTAAGTTGCTATTAAATAGTCAGTTGTCGCCCATCTGTCGGAAACTGTTCCCAGCATTATTTAATCATTACCAGTAAGTACTCACTTTTTGCGTCATAAATGAAATATTTAATTAAGAAATGACTAGTACACGAAAAGAGGATAGAAACGCTTCAAGTAATTGAAATGGGAGGCTGCACTAGAGAAAATACAATGCAAAGACTTGTTTGATAAACCTTTTCACTCGGATTTTTGAGACCACTGGTCGCATTTACACATTTGGTGGCTATCACATAGTCGACTCCTGCCACGCGACGTACTAACTCTTTTACGCTGAGTTCGTACGTCGCTGGATTCATCAGGTTTAAATTCGTACTGAGGCAGCACATATAACACTTAAGACAAGAGTCGTTCGGAAATTCAGCTAATGACAGAACTCGCTGCGACAAATCCGGTGCTATCCCACTTTCACATTCGCAATCTGTTCGAAAGGGTTCAGCGGTACTGACCCAATCCATCCGGATCTCTTCTGGAACTACCTACAAGGTATTTTTCAAACGTTTGCGCAGTAGTGAAATCAGTGCTTACCGAAATTGCAGCTGTTAGTGTGGGTATCAATAAGCAACTAAGCACGTGGAGGGTGGTGTACATGGTGACGGTCTGTTAGACAATATTTACAATGCTACGTGATCTTTGTCTTTTTTTAAATGAAAATGTGACAGATAAGGATTCTAAATGGTCCCTACCATCGGCCACGTAATTCGCGTAAAACCTGTCACGGTTGAAGTAGCTTCAAATATGGAGATTTAATTTCGCTTGTTGACGTCTATTTGTAACGACCGTGGTCACGACGTCACAAAAACTCAGAATTTCTAACCGCGGTCGGTAAAACAAACGTCGAAACTCGACACTCGACACTGACCTAATTGCGTCTTCGCGTGAATTTGGCACAATATGTAAACCACGCCTTGTGTAAGACTATCGGTGGCCGACTTAATTTTTTTCTGACCGCTTCACGTGAAGTGCCTCGTGGTTCACGAAGTGAGTTGCCCCGCCGTTGAATCCAATTTTTTTACGGGTCGACGCGAACCCTACCGTGACTTAACGCGCATTGCCTCACGGCTCTCTGCCAACAACCTAATTCTGGTTACTATTCTATTTAACTCATATTGGAAATATGGCCACTTTCTCCGTTAGTTCGTCCGTCCGTCCTCCAAGCCCTTAACTACTTCTGCAGTTTTTAAGATATATAGTTTGTTCTTTTTGCATTCGGTAGCTTTGGCACCTCAACCAAGAAAACTCTTAATGATTAATGTACGCATGGGCAAACTACGCAATGGCATTTGTCTTATTTATGGAGATATTTTTTTCAAATTCTAACCAAAGATTCTTCCAGTAAAGGCAAACATATCGCATATTTTAAACATCAGGTGCGTGCATGCTCAGTTTCTTGGACGTACAACCTTCCCAGTAAGCTTAATAACGACGGATGTGACTCTTGCAACTGCAAGTAGCCCACGACGTCCCGACGTCTCAAGATTTCACACACATTGAAACAGTCAGGACTGTATTTAGAAACCACTTGCCCATATAAAGTATCGAAGAAAATTTAGGAGAAATAAAATAAAATTCGTTAACCGGCTCTTGTTATACCTCACACATTCTTTAACTCTCTTATGGTGTGTTTATACAATCATTAGCATTAGTTCACTATGGTCAGGATGGTTTCGTTGTTAGCAAGGCGCGATAAACATTTCTACTGGCTATTTCTTAATGATTTTTGATAGTGAACTAATGATAATGATCTATAAACCCACCATTACTCTTTTTCATGGCCAGTTTATACAAAAACGTATGATAGGTACACAATAAACCAAGATTTCTATTATTACGATTGTTCTGCATCACACCAATCCTATTTGAATGCCCCATGAAATGTTTGGCTTTTCCGCCAATCTATTAGGTGGTAGTGAAAGGTCTAAGCAATCTATGAGTTGTATAAAAAGCTCATAATTGAAATACACACCTTGATCAGCACCCATTTTCAAAATCTTCGCACAACACATATCACTTGCTATTTTATGTACGACGGATATTATGTAACTTGTTTATTTAAAAAAGGAGTCTAAGTAATAACAACTGTCACAATACCTTCGGGGCGAGCCCCCTGGAATATAACGTTTACCGGCCTCAGAATACCCTCAGCAAAAATGAATGGCTGGCAGATTAGTGCGTATAGTTGTGCGCTGTAGTTTTACATCTTTGGCAACTCTTTATACATTTATCTTTGAATTTACCACCACGAAACTATTTCATGAATCGGTCACTAGATGCTAGTTACAGAAAACTATACTATAACGATTTTGGTAAAGCCAACAAATCCCCACTAGGCGGCGCCACAATCGGAAATTCAATAATTCAAACCGGTGCAAAGTGACCAGCATCAGCAAAGTCAAAAATTCAAATCTCTCGAACAAATTCAAACTTACCGTTACAAAATGGCAGACATCCGGAAATTCAAAGATTCAAACCTTGTTTATAAATGTAATAAAATTGGTTTCAGTACCGATTATTTTCGGTTCCGGTGCCAACCCCTCGTAGACAGCCAGTTTATATAAAAGCGAATGATACACATTAAGCCAAAGTTTTAAATCCGCACTCACATTTTAACTAAGTTGCTATTAAATAGTCTTACGCTATACAGTTGTGGCATATCCGCCTGAAACGGTTCCAAGTATTATTTGATCATTGCTAGTGCTTTTACCGCGACACCAAATAGAACATCTACACTACTAGAAAAGGGGATTAGTAGAAGCGACTCAAGAAATGGAAATGGGAGGTTGTACTAAGGAAAATACGATACAAAAGACTCATTTGGTAAATCTTTTCGCACGGATCTTTGAGGCCACATGTCGCATTAATGCATTTGGTGGCGATCATATCGTCGACGCCTGCCACGCGACGTACGTACTCTTTTACGCTGACTTCGTACGTCGCTGTGTTGATCAGGTTTAATTTCGTACCGATGCAGAACATGTAAGACTTAAGACAAGAGTCGTTCGGAAATTCAGCTAATGACAGAACCCGCTGCGACAAATCCGGCGCTATCTCACTTTCACATTCGCAATCTATTCGAAAGGGTTTAGCGGTACTGACCCAATCCATCCGGATCTCTTCTGGAACTTGCTACTAGGTATTTCTCAAAGACGCGGACAGGTTGAATCAGTGCTTACCGAAATCGCCACTGTTACTGTGGGTATCAATAAACAACTGAGCACGTGGAGGGCGGTGTACATTGTAACGGTCTGTAGGCAATATTCATGATATTCAAAGCGTTCATTGCTACGTGATAAGATATCTAACGGGTGTCCCAAAATTAACGCAAGATCTGAATTTGCCGCCATTTGTGCGGTGAAGTGTTGGCAACCCTGAAAAAAAAGCAATTTGACAGCTAACAGTATAGGGTTATTAAAAATGGAGCGTTACACGATAGAACAACGTGTCTTCATTATAAAAGAATATTTCAAAAATAGTGAAAGCTTGGCGGCTGCAGTTCGAAAATTTCATACAAAATATGGTCGGAATAGTGTTCACATTCGAACGGCTTGTTTTTGGATGACCAGTGTGTTTGGCGTCTCCAACGGATCCAGTCTCCATGAATTTTTCAATTAATCTCTTCACAGTTGACGAAGTTAAAACACTATTCCGACCATATTTTGTATGAAATTTTCTAACTGCAGCCGCCAAGCTTTCACTATTTTTGAAATATTCTTTAATAATGAAGACACGTTGTTCTATCGTGTAACGCTCCATTTTTAATAACCCTATACTGTTAGCTGTCAAATTGCTTTTTTTTCAGGGTTGCCAACACTTCACCGCACAAATGGCGGCAAATTCAAATCTTGCGTTAATTTTGGGACACCCTGTAAATGGTCCCTGCTATCGGTCACGTAATTCGTGTAAAACCTGAGTGACGGTTAATGTAGCTATTTGGACAAATCTTGAAAGGAATTTTGCTTTTTTGGTTAAATGGTCTTATTGTGCACGTATTTTTACATACCGGGTGACTCAATAAGACTGTTCCTCGGCCATATCTCGAGAACCGTTAGTCATATGACTGGGGTAAAAAAAATTATTGGGTAAATCGGCCATGAAGAATCGCTGGAAAATATTTTCAAGTTCTAAAAATGACCAACAGAGGACGTAACTGCCATCTTAAATTTTAAGAATGCATTTTCTTTAAATTTCGCATAATAACCATAAAATATTTTTTTTTCAGAGAACCGGTTTATCGATCATTTTCGTAAAAACAAAAACTCAGTTACATGATGAACGGTTCTCGAGAATGGCCGAGGAACAGTCTTATTGGGTCACCCGGTATGTAAAAATACGTGCACAATAAGACCATTTAAAAGCAAAATTCCTTTCAAGATTTGTCCAAATAGTAGCATTAACCCTCACTCAGGTTTTACACGAATTACGTGACCGATAGCAGGGACCATTTAGATATCTTATCACGTAGCAACGAACGCTTTGAATACAATTTCACATTGTGGTCAGGGAATATCGATGTAGAAAGCAACAATTAGGTAGGTAATAATGAAGAAAAGAGTAAGGCACAAGTAAGAAGCCTAAAAATCATTATCCAAAGTGTACTGATCTTAACCCAACCCCAGGCTCGAAGTGAAGATGACAGATTTCACGGCAAAGTGGCAACGTTGCAATCCCAGTATCAAAACACGGTTCCCGCTCAAATTTCAAACAAAAGAATGGCACGTGATTGGATCGTCTAAGGTAGGGTCCCCTTACGTTACACGAAGCTAATACAATGGCTCGGGACCCAGTCGGGCAGGAACACTCATATAAAACGCTGTAATGTCTGCGAGTTTATTTATTATAAACTTATCCTGAAAACCCGAGCATTTGGATGTGGTACATTAAAAGCAAAGCAAGCAAAACCTAAAGGTGCCGCATTCTCGCAAAAGCAGACTACCAAGGAGAAAAAAAGCGCGACTTGAGAAAAAACCTTAGCCTTGAATAAAACCCAAACTATGCTAATCACAAGCAAATTAAAACACCAACCACCTAAGCAGAACACGTAACACTGCCTTAATTAATTAATGAATTCAAGTAGCAGGGTACGTTTGAACAGTATGCGTAGAGTATTCGTCACAACATGTCATGTACTTCCCTTTAATCGCGGCTAGAAGGCAACTCACTTTTTAGTTAGTCATTGGGTGGTGAACCTGGTTATTCGTTTTGGGCCAGCGTCTTCGCTTGATTGCCCTCCTGTTTCACGGTCATACTGTTAGGGATTGGTCTGGCATATTTGCCTATTAACTCGTAGCGCAGTTAAGATTGTTAGGGGCAACGCCTTCATGCATTTATTGATATGTCACCTTACTAGTTATTCATATCATTATATACCGAATAGATTAGTGTGAAGTTTGTGAAAACATGTCTGATCTATTATTCATGTTGTGACGTAACAATAAGCAGTTATGACAATACACAGTGTACTCGTGGAGCCCCCAATTATGCTCAGTTTCTACATAATGGCATTGGTATAAATCCCAGACTTCCGGAACTACTACCTGTGCTTCGTAACACTCCCCTGACATGGGTCACGTAACGACACAAAACTGAAGATGGTTAAGAGATGGGTCGCCGCCTATGGGTAGGACGGCCTTCGGTTA